AACGTTGTGTACGAGAAGTTATTGCGTCGCAAAATTTATCTTTCAAGTGATGCATTACTTTTGAGCGCCACTGTATATAAGAAAGGCCTATGGGCCTCAATAAAAAAAATCAGAATTGTTGCGCACAATTGTTCTCCAAGTAAAATAAGACTTGTAAAATTTCCTTGTAATAATTGATTGAATTGACTGAAAAGGCAAAGTTTAAAAGATCGACGACAGTAATCGATCTTGGTAAAGACGCACAATAGCGATAGCTATAGTTAATTGAAAACCCAATAGGTTTAGAAATTATTAAACAAAGGAAGCATCTTAAATATACACTTGCCCCAAGTCCAACGTCAAATACGATATCCGTAGGTATCGGCACAGGCAAAACCAATTTTCGCCCAAAACTCTTGCTCTCCCAAAACCGCTGTTTGAAAAAACATGGCGTTTCAGCCTAACCCTAACCTAAAAAGAGCACGAAATAGGTAATATTCTCCCAGACCTGGCTTCATAGAAACCATTGTAGAACAATGTTCTAAAGTGTAAAAGCTTTTCAAAAACTGTGAACAAGCTCAAGACTGCTCTCTCTGAAGGAAGCGTAGTCATAATTTAATTTGTTAGTTTTGCCGTAAGGAATTGACGTGATATTGAATCCATATAGAGTGGGTAATGTGTATTGATTGATGGCGGCTGTACATGTATAATTACATATTCATGTTTAATTCACGTTTTTACTCTTCTTCATTTAATACATGTTGTGGGCGTACATCGTGTTCCCGTATCATTTTTTCACGCATAAATCGTGTTACAAATAAAAGTGAACGACGACTTCCATACCACATATAAATCTTCGTTTTCAAATAAAACACTACCATAATCACTAATAAACTTATAGCGTTCCAAAGTACTTTCCTTTACACGCATCACACTAGGCTCTACACTCGGCACAATAATATCAGCAGCTACCATCGCCTCACAAGTACTAGAAACCTGATATGCATGTATATCAACCTTGCCATTCTCGTTTCCCGTTACGATACATGTCACAAATTTACTCGAGAATTTTCCGAGGGCGCTCAATTTCGTGACATTGGGATTTTTAATTTACATTGCGGTAGAGAAACAAAATTATTGGGAAGAAAGAAAATAAGAGTCAATGTGTCGCTTGCAAATTACTTTTCCTTGACGATCAGTGTATATCATTCCGACCTTATGATTATTCGAATTGTAATATTTTAATATCAATCAGAATTAACGAACGTTTTATTGGTCTGTTCGTAATTTCAAAACTCTCACTTTGAATAATCCACAAGCAGCTCCCTCGTCGACTGACTCTTCTTCATTCCATGGGAGATTGTCCATTTGGTTTTCCTGTGGTGGCTCATAAATCACCTCCACAACTGCTTTTATACCTAATGGAACATCAGGGTAAAGCTCATACCATATCCAAACAGTTGATATCCAGTAGATTGTTACAAAAGTTATTATAAAACCAATTAATCGAATCAGAATGCAGTCAATGTAGTCAATGTTGATTGCTCTCTTACTTGCTGTTGTAATGTCACTGCACTCGGTTGACAATTTGTACAAATACCTTCTGACCAAAAAGCATGACAATTTAAGTTTAAGCAACGCTGCTTGACACGGTAATCTGGTTCCTCGAGGTGGAATAAATTTGGTATTTGTGCCAGTTGTCTTTACATACTCTTTTTTGCACTTTTCGTAAATATATATGAAAAGACATGTGTTTGATCCGATTTTCTGCCAAATAATTGAATGTAAATACAGAATTGCAGTAATCGCACATGCCATGTATAGAATGCCTACAGCTAAACACGAAAAACTAAATTAATATTTACATACTAAGTAAAAAAGCATCAACAAATGCACGTGTCTCTACTAAAAATCGACGCGTACGCACACAATTCACGCGTACAATTTCGGATCACGTCCTCGCTTCATAAAGCCAGACTGTTTCATCCACAACTTCTTACATTCAATGCTGATGATGAACTGAAAAATTTTAATTATAAACGATCTGTCTTTCAAAATGATGACCCATATAAAATTTCATTCCCCTATGGATTAATATGAAGAGCGCAAGGTTTCATATGCTAATAAATCGAAAGACAGAATAATCATTAATGAATAAATCTTAATTAAGAAAGAAATTGTTAATCAATCGAAAAGTTATGATATATATAAATACAACATAATTTGAGCCGTACTCATATTATTATTACCACTATAAAATAACTTAACAATCAATCATCATGAGACCCATAA